AGAAAAACCAGAGTCAGAGGAGTCATTAAAAAAAAAAAAAAGAAAGAAAAGAAAAGAAACCCAGAGGCCAGGCGTGGTGGCTCACACCTGTAATACCAGCATTTTGGGAGGCCGAGGCGTGTGGATCACTTGAGGTCAGGAGTTCGGGACCAGTCTGGCCAACATGGCAAAACCCTGTCTCTACTAAAAATACAAAAAATTAAGTCAGGCATGGCAGCAGGCGCCTGTAATCCCAGCTACTGGGAGGCTGAGGCAGGAGAATCACTTGAATCTGGGAAGTGGAGATTGCAGTGAGCCGAGATTGCACCACTGCACTACAACCTGGGAGACAGAGAAAGACTTCGTCTCAAAAAAAACCAAAAACAAAACAAAACAAAAAAAAAGATTCCAGAAAACAAAACAAAACAACTCTCAGGCAAAAGGGGCAATTCATAAAAACTGACACAGCCGCTACTAGGAATCGTTTTTAGAAAGTTAGGCCTCATCTAAATCGATCTATAAGATTTGTACCCTTCTAAAAAAGATTTTAAGTGGGTAGGCCTAAAAGAGAGGTGAATTAGCTTCCAGGAGGCAATCTAATTCTTCATTGTGAAAAGTCAACTACAACAAGATCAAACCTCCAACCTCACTTTGAAAGCAAGCATACATATTCTCTCTCAAATCATCATGTACAATCTAATGAGATCTTAGAATTTTTAACATAGCAGTGACAGCACTCCCATGTACTTCTGAATCTTCAAAGACCTAAACTGGTAAGTTAGTTTCCTAGTTGATCAAAGATCTGATTTGTACACAGAATCTCATGCTCAAGGCCCAACTCCAATGCTATGAAACTTTTTTTTTTTTTTTGAGTGCAGTGGCCTGATCTTGGCTCACTGCAAGCTCCACCTCCTGGGTTCATGCCATTCTCCTGCCTCAGCCTCCCGAGTAGCTGGAACTACACGCACCCACCACCACGCCTGGCTAATTTTTTTGTATTTTCAGTAGAGACGGAGTTCCACCATGTTAGCTAGGATGGTCTCGATCTCCTGACCTCATGATCCGCCTGCCTCGGCCTCCCAAAGTGCTGGGATTACAGACGTGAGCCATGACACCTGGCCCACTATGAAACTTTTTAAAACCACTTTTCCAAATGGATATTATCTTTCTCCTTTTAAAATCTTCTATCTCATTCCTTAAAACCACTCAGTTGGCAATCACATTGTCTTACATTAAAAGAACTCCCATTTTTTGCCAGAACTCAGTTAGATGTTTCACACATATTTTATCTAATCCTCACAATTTTGCAAAACTGGGTTTATCTCCATAGATGAGGAAACTGATGCTTACAGAGGATGTCCAAGGTTATGCAACTAGTAAGAAACAAAACCAGGATTTAAACCCAGATCTGTCTTACTTCAGAACCTTCACTTTTTTTTTTTTTTTTTTTTGAGATGGAGTTTCGCTCTTGTCACCCAGGCTGGAGTGCAATGGCGCGATCTCAGCTCACTGCAACCTCCGCCTCCTGAGTTCGAGCGATTCTCCTATTTCAGTCTCCTGAGTAGCTGAGATCACAGGTGCAAGCCATCACGCCCAGCTAATTTTTGTAGTTTTAGTAGAGATGGGATTTCACCATGTTGGCCAGGCTGGTCACGAACTCCTGACCTCTGGTGATCCACCTGCCTTGGCCTCCCAAAGTGCTGGGATTACAGGGGTGAGCCACTGCACCAGGCCCAGAACCTTCACTATTAAACCACTATACAATACTGCCACTTACATAAAAGTACTACACTAATAATTATCAGTCACTATCTCTGTGACCTTGAGCAAGTTACTTCTTTATTTATTATTTGTTTTTTAGGGACAGAGTCTCGCTCTGTTACCCAGGCTGGCATGCAGTGGCACAATCATAGCACACCGCAGCCTTGAACTCCTGGGCTCCAGTGATCCTCCTGCCTCAGACTCCTGAGTAGTTAGGACTACAAGTGTGTAGCACCACACCTGGCTCTTTATTTCTTCACCTTCCATATTTAAAAGCCTGCCACTAGGAGGAGACAAATAAATTAAAAGTTGTTCAATCTGTTCTTCCTTTAGAATACTTTTTAATTTTTTTTAGAGATAGGGTCTCACTCAGTCACCCAGGCTGGAGTGCAGTCGCACCATCACGGCTCACTGCAGCCTTGACCTCCTGAGCTCACGCGATCCTTCTACCTTAGCCTCCAAAGTAGCTGGGACTAAAGGCATGCACCACCATGCCCGGATAATTTTTTTAAATTACTTTTTGTAGAGATGGAATCTCACTATGTTGCTCAAGTTGCTCTTGAACTGCTGGGCTCAAGTGATCCTTCCATCTCATTCTCCCAAAGTGGTGAGATTATAGGCGTGAGCCACTGTGCCTGGCTGAGCAAATTATGTAATCTTTCCGGGCATTAGTCTTCCCATCCACGAAATAAAGAGGATATGCCACAGGTACTGCATTGTTGTGAATATTAAATGAGAGAATGTATGTAAAAGTGCTTTGTAAACTATAGCCATTTTTAATTACATGTACTAGGTTTATGCTCCTTCAGAGCAAATTTTTATGCCTCATATATGTGTCCCCTCAACAGTCAATAAAGGGTTTAGTAGGAATTGAACATCATCTACTTTACTAGTCTTTTGAAGGATATGAGACACCTTTTCCCTGTATAAGGAGGAAACTAGTGTCCCATTCCTGGTTAAGTATCCATAATTCAAACCTTAAATTACAACAAAGTGACAAACTCAGTACATCACCAAAGAGGAGCTTTAAACACCTGTATGGCATTTAGCTATCTGATCTTTCCTCTACCATGCTGCATTTGGTGCCATAATGGGTTGAGAGAGAGAAAATCTCAAATGAAAAATATCAACGTATTTTGTAAGAAAACATGCCTGGAAGAAGGCAGAGCAGAAAAAAGCCATGGTTTATTAACAGAATTAACAGAGACTTTATCGTTCTGTGCACTATCTGATTTGCCATCTCCTGATCACAAAAGTATCTGTAACATTGTCTAACTCACCTTCTACTATGAAATTTGACTTACCTGAAGAAATAACATGTTTATTAAATTTCCTTAGGCATACTCATTTTTTCCCCCAGTAAGACGGACACACTTGGTAATATATCCAGGGAAGTGGCCCAATATGCTATTAAGACTGTAGACTGAGTTTGCTACCAGGTAAGCACAGTGGAAGAGAACTAACTCCTGCTCTGCTGTTTACTGACATGTAATTCTTGGAAAATCACTAACGTCTCTATTAACGATAGATCTGTTTTTCAGTCTGTAAAATTGGGGCTAATATTTATTTTATCTGCTTTACTGGTTTATTGTGAAAGTCACATGAAGTAATATAAGTGAAATTAATTTACAAATTATAAATATATAACCAAAAATAATTAGGCAGTCATCTACCACTTTTCCTTGGGTAAATGTCCAGTATTAGCAAAGCTGAGTTACTGATTTCTGTGGGTGTGTTCACGTGGTAGTACCAAAGATAATTTTTTTTTAAAGCTGGGTGTGGTGGCTTGCACCTGTAATCCCAGCTGAGGCAGGCGGATTGCTTGAAGTCAGCCTGAGCAACTTAACAAGACCCTGTCTGGAAAAAAGAAAAAAAGAAAAAGCATTTCTACTCATCTTTTTGAGAAAGGACACAATAAATATTCTCCAATAAATGTTATCTTGACTACAGAAGCTATGAAAGAGGTTGGCTGGTAAAGTTAATCCTGTCACAACAGATCTATATTTCAGGAAACTTAGCTTAAGGTGGTTCAGCTATACCTTCCTAACAGTATGAAAATGGACTATCAGATCAGGATGTAGCCTGATGATCCATAAATAAGTTATATTTATACTTATTTCTTAACTAAAGAAAAACTGCACAAATCTCCAAAAGTAGACTGTAAGTTAGAAAAAAATCCAAGTTCACAAACATACAAATATGTGTGCCAATGTCAGTTTTGTTTATCATTTATGGTGAACCGTGAATACATATTTTCAGCCACAGAAGTAAGAAAAAAGGAAGATACATAATGAACACTTTTGAACAAACGTTGCTGGGGCAGATACTTTAGATACTGCTTCTTCCTTCTATTTTTTTTTTTCTTCCCCAGGTAGGGATGAAGTCTCCCTATGTTGCCCACGCTGGTCTTGAACTCCTGCATCAGCTCCCCAAAGTGGTGGGATTACAGGCATGAGCCACCAACCCCTACCTAGACACTAATTATTCTTATTTCAGTATAACAAAGCTGAATTTTGCCTTTGAAATAGAAATAAACAATATAAACTGCTTGAGCACTTGAAATACTCATTTCCTATAAAACTGTAGCTCTCTTTCCTCATTTAGAACTTGAGTAACTTTTCTCAGATATTCCTCTGAATAGAATTCCCATTTTCCCAGAAGTGTACCACAAGTAGATGTAATGTTTCTTTGTATCAAAGTCATGGCTTTTTTGCTAATTACCTAATTTCTACACTGGTTGCAAAACAATTTACTTACGGTAGCAAAATCACAGCGCTAACTTTGTCCCTGATAAAAGCCATATGAAGAAAAAGAGACTTATCAAATGTTTTATATTGAATGCAATTTGTTCCAATATTTTAGCCTTCCTTTTAAAAAAAAAAAAAATGCGTTTTTTTGGGGACTTTTATTTTATTTTTAGAGGTAGAGTCTCTCTATGTTGTCTAGGCTGGATTTGAACTCCTGGGCTCAAGTGATCCTCCTGCCTCAGCTTAGTAGCTGGGACCACAGAAAGGCACCATGGTGTCTGGCTGGGTTTGCGGGGTTTTTAAAATACCAAAGCACACTATGAAACATACTCTCTCTGTTTAGTGGTCTGATGGTGTATTGACATTGTCTTGAGAGACCTTTCATTTCAAAAATACCCAAATTACAACCAGGATAATGTTTGAGGCCAACTTTAACTTGACCTATCTTTCTCTTCAAAGAAGTTTTTCTTTATGAAATAGTAATATTCATGATCAGTGAAGGAGCATACTCACCAAGTGAACATAAGGCACAAAGTATCCAAAAAGTGCAAGTGGTATTCCAACTGCCCACACTGCATAAGCTGTCACCTTGAAGATGGCAAAATTGAAAATTTTTTTTGGAGGACTGAACTTTCTCCTGGAAAAGAGGGAGGATCCGCTACCTCCACTCTCTTTATCTTTGGTACTGGTAGCAAGAGGACGGTAAGTAAAGCCAGCCAGAAAGAGAACAAACATGAAGATGCAGAGCACCCTCAGTGTGTGAAAGAGGCCCACGCTGTCAATCAGAACCCTTAAGAGCAAAGGCAGCAGGATTGTGAAGACACTGCTGCCAGCAGTGACAATGCCATTCACCAGTCCAAGGCGCTTCTTGAAATAGTGTCCCAGAATGACCAATGAAGGCTGGTATGCAAAGGAGCAGCCGCAGGCAAATATGATTCCATAGGTAAGGTACAGAGGCTCGATGGAACTGTATAAAGATGAAAAAGATGGAAAGCAGCTTTCAATATTGTTACTGTGTGCTTGGTAGAATAAAACCTTATAGTAAAAGTGGGTTTTTGTTCATCAACATATTTTCTACAAGTAAAAGTTAACCAAAATGAGGGGAAAACTCAGTAAGTCAAGAATGTAGCACTAAACATATTTTAATCTGAATGTGTGAAAAATAACCATTAAGGTCATCAGTGGTTTTGTTCTGCCTCCTCTTTCTGTGGATTTCAGGTGACGCACACAGCACTGAGTAAGAACTGTGCTCTCCACAGCTCAGAAATAAAGGTTGGTGCCAGGAAGAGTAAAATCAACAGTGATTCAATTAACAAACCAAAAACCTAGTCTCAATGAAACACTTTTTTAAAAAGTTAGAATTAACTATGAAAACTAATTATTTCATGGAGTTTTTCCAGGTACTTACCAAACAAGGTAGTAAAAGAAAAGGCTGCATTTTATATTTTTTCCCCAAGGTTATGTCAGGAACATTTGCACAGAGGCGCAGTTGTGCCTGTTTTTGCTGGCCTAAGGGCTGTAGACCAACCTTCGCCCTGTGTTGCACTGTTCCCAATATTGTGCAAGATAACAAGAAATCATATTCTGACTGCAGAAAGACTAAATTACGTGTATTCCTTTTAGTGATCTCAGTTTGTAAGCTGTAAGGCCATGCGTGTGTCAAAAGAATAATGGATTAAATAATCTTCTAGTTTAACCAAATAATTGCACATTTCTTAGGAAGATAAAGGATCATATCTTTATGTTCTTTGAAACAATTACGGCAAAGAACAAAACTAGTTAAAGTTTTTTGAAAAGGCTATCAGTAGTAAAAGCAAACAATTTATTAGAAAGTAAGATAGATAAAGTTGGTTAATAATTAAATTTTGGACAATAATGCTAGTCTAGCAACATGCTGAGGTAATCATAAGGAACTCTAGAATCTGATAAAATTAAGGCATGTTGGCAATCCTCTGAGATGCCCTTCTCCCTCTATTAATCCACAGCTAGCACCACCTTCAGATCAGGCTCAAGAGGCACTTCTAGGGTTTCCCAAATTAATCTCACCTCACTCTGATCACCTTTTACTCAATCTCCACTCTTTGTTTAGCCAACATATTAAGCAACTACTATGTACCAGATACGTTGTGGAAAAGAATATTAAAAATTTGGTCCTTGGCCAGACATGGTGGCTCACACTTGTAATCCCAACACTTTGGGTGGCCAAAGCAGGAGGATGGCTTGAACCCAGTCTGGCAACATAGCAAAACCCCATCTCTACTTAAAAAAAAAAAAAAAAAATTAGCTGAAATTAGCTGGGTGTGATGGCATGTGCCTGTAGTCCTAGCTACTCAGGAAGCTGGGGCAGGAGGATGGCTTGAATCCAGGAATCCAGGCTGCAGTGAGCTATGATCACACCACTGCATTCTGGCCTGGGTAATAGTGAGACCCGGTCTCCAAAAAAAAAAAAAAAAAAAAAAAAAATTGTGGTTCTGCCTTCAAGATACTCATAGTCTGCTTAGTGAAACAAGATATCTATCCCAAATAATAATAACACAACACAGAACAAAACAGAAATTAATACTTCATTCATTCTGTATCAGTTTTTCCACCTAAGTAGTTTTCCAGATAATTGTAACTTATGTAAAGTGCTTATTTGCTTTTATTTAACAATTTTAAAGAAAAAAATTTTAAGTCTATTGTACATTTCTCTCTGCCTTCTTCAAAGTGTATATTAAAAATACTGTTCACAGCAGAATCATCAGGAACATCAGTTCCTATACAGTTGTACCACTGTACTGTAATGCTCTCAGCTGGAAAACCACAGAGCCTCTCCCTTCTACAGAGTGAAGTAACGAGCTTTGCGATGGCATTTTCACTGCTGCTGAACCCTTTTCACTTCCAGGTTTTCCCTTCAGGAACAGATGGTTCCAGTCTGTGATGTTTGGCAGCCGAATAAGTGCAATGTAAATGAGTAAGGCTGTTGGATACCAATCATATGTGCAAAAAGGATCCAGAGAAGGGACATGGGTGTGATTGACCTAAGTTGCTGGAGAAGGTTTTCCTCAGAAGGCGGAACAGGAACTAGAGGAAAAATGGACCTGCCACCCAACACTCAGAATCTATACCACATTTCCCCTTGCTCCTGTATCTTGCTCTCAAGTTTCAGTAGCCTTTGACCAGCAGGCTAAATAATGACATTTAATAGAAAATATGAGAATATTACACGTAGTAAGGGAATTTTAGTTTCAATAAATTTTGTTTCACTTAGAGGGTACAGAAAAGAGAGAGAGAACTGGGTCACATCAAAATATATGTCATAATTTTTATTGCTCAGTGGTCAGAAAAATTTGAAAAACATTGCTTTGTATGTGTGTTTTGTTAACAAACTAGGTAGTAAATTACATAAGCTGTCTACCTCTCAGTCCCCTCTCGACCACAGCTGGAGTTGTAATACATTTGGCAAGTGGCAGAGCCACAGGTACTGACAATAGGTACCTGTAAGCTTCCAGATCAAAGAAGCTATCTGATGAGGCATTAATAACATTAATTACATTAATAATAATGTAAATATTATATTGCTGCTAAAATAAATCATCTCATGGAATTACCTACACAGAATCTTATTCCAATCAAAACTTTTTTTTAAAAAAAAAAACAACTTTAGAAGAAAAAACCCACCAAGGTACTTTAAAGATGAAAATATCTATTTTCTACAAAGAAATAAATATAATTTTTAAAAATCCAACTAGAATTTCTTTCTTTCTTTTTTTTTTTTTTTTTTTGAGACGGAGTCTCGCGCTGCCCAGGCTGGAGTCTAAATTAGATGGAAGAAAATACGAAAGAATGAGGCTCACTTTAGAGTTGAGGAAGGGATGTGTGTTGGGGGGTGGGGAGTGGCAATGAGTAAAACCAAGGATCCTGTTGATTAAATACTTAAAAATAAAAAGTCAAATGTAAATTTCACTTATTTTTCCTTAATGACCACATTAATGCTTTTCAACTAAAGCAGCATGAAGACAGCTAGGGACAGGAAAGAGGCAGGAAATGAAGATAAACCACTAAAGTAGAGACAAAGGATAGAAATGATCTTAAGAGGTTTTCTTCTTAAGCACCTCCTGTTAGCCAGAGCTACATATTAAATCAGTGTTTCTCTAACTGAGGATTATTCTGCCAAGGCAAGGGACTTACAAGGAGAACCAGAGCTGCAGGGAGAGGTGTTTAATGCAGTTATGTGCCCATCTGCTCCTTACGGTTAGTCCCTCTTCAGTGCACTGCATCTTTTCTTCTAATACAGGAGTCCCCAATCTTTTTGGCACCAGAGACCAGTTTCAGGAAGAATTTTTCCATGGATGGGGTCAGGGGAGGGTGGTTAGGGATGATTCAAGTGCATTACATTTATTGTGCACTTTATTTCTAATATTATTACATTGTAATATATAATGAAATAATGATACAACTCATCATAATGTAGAATCAGTGGGAGCCCTGGGCTTGTTTTCCTGAAACTAGATGGTAACATCTGGGTGTTACGGAAGAAAGTGACAGATCATCAGGCATTTAGATTCTCATAAGGGGAGTGCAACCTAGATCCCTCATATGTACAGTTCACGATAGGGTTTGCACTCCTAGGAGAATTTAATGCTGCCGCTGATCTGACAGGAGGTGGAGCTCAGGTGGTAATGCAAGTAATAGGAAGCAGCTATAAATACAGAGGAAGCTTTGCTTGCTCACCCACAGCTCACCTCCTGCTGTGCAGCCCAGTTCCTAACAGGCCATGGACCCGTACCAGTCTGTGGCACAGGGGCTGCGGATCCCTTTTCTAATAGATACAGGAGAAGTACACTGACATTAAGTTTTATTTTAAGGTACATTGGACCACTTCATTTTGCCATGATATTTTAAAATTTTAGCATGTCCTTTTTTTAAAGAACAGACAGGAATTCTCTATCTGGATTGGAATAAATGGCAAGGTTTTGGTCTCATTAATAAAAATATTTCATATCAAGCCTATGAACAGCTACTTTAAAACAGCACGTATTGTAACCCGTGGGCCTCAGACTGAATGGACCTTAAACTAAGGCCGCTATTTTAGGTAACTTATTGTTATAACTTGAGTGCCATTGGGATTTTTATGTGAACAGAAGAAAAAGATAAGGAGAAACATTTTTCCATGCACCAGGGAACACATATATCCTGATTGATGTCTAAGTCTTGGAAATTACAAGAAAAAAAAGCATTCAAATTCTTAAGCTCTGATTTGCTGCTATGGATAACAGTTTGTTTTATAAGTCATACTGCTTAAAGTTTTAAGAAATGAAAAGGAGGAGCTTTGTTTGTAAATAACAGAGTTTTTTAAATTAAAACTTTAAGGCATTTAACAGTTTTTAAAAAGCAACATGAAAAAACCAAGTCCTTACCTTACAAAAGAACTGGACATGAGCCCAACAAATCCAACAGCAGCACCCATGACAGCTGTTTTCCGACAACCAAATAGGTCTGTGAAGACGCTGACTATTGGGCAGCAAAAGAAAATCATCCCCATGGAGAGAGAACCTACCCATGCTGTAAAAGAGGGGAAACGGTGGGAGGAATTATGACATGGTAAGTTATATTTGTACTTATTCCATTGATATAATACACATTTAGAAAAATTTTATTTTTAGTTTTTTTTTTTTTTAGTATAGCGCCTAAGCTTAGTTCTTTTGCCATGGAAATTGACTCATACACTAGTAGAATATTTGCTGACCTGGATAATAGTTACTGGGTATTTATTTTATAATTATTTATAAAACCATACATATGTTTAATCTTCTTTTCTGAAGGTATGTTATATTTCACAATAAAAAAATTGAGAATCAGAAGTCAGATTCCATAAAAACCCAAAAAATGAAAACCAACAAGAAAAAAAGAAATATTAAATACAAATAATCATAATTATGTGCCAAAGAAATGAGTGATCTGACTTCGCCGAGGAAATCAAGTCTGTAAGTCTTCCTAAAAAAGTAAAACAAACTAATGGAACCTAAGTGAAAATGAGCTGTGGAAAAAACAGACATGAGTCATATTCCCAGCTCTACAACTGCAACATATCCTTGGTCAAGTTACTTCCCCTCTGAATGAGTTTTCTTATCTTGAAAATGGATCAAATAAATACCTTTCTAGAATTATTAAAGATTAGAGAAAGTGCACATAAACCTCAGTATCTGGCACATAAGCACTTAATAATTTAGAGTTTTAACAATGATGATGACAACAAATTGTCTGTCTTGGTAGATGTCCCTGAAGCTCTGTGAAGCTCTGGGAGTCTCCCAGTATATTACTCTATTTTCTTAGCAAAGGTAGTTAAGCCCTATGCAAATGATCATCATTTCTAGTAATGAATTTCATATTAAGTCCAAATGAAACTTTATCATACTAATAATTCAATATTTTGCCTTTTTTTTTTTTTTTTGAGAAATGATCTCACTCCATTGCCCAGGCTGGAGTACAGTGGTGCGATCTCAGCTCACTGTGAGCTTGACAGCCCAGGCTCAAGCAAATTTCCCACCTCAACCTTCCAAGTAGCTGGAACCACAGGTGTGTAGCACCATGCCTGGCTAATTTTTGTATTTTTTGTAGAAACGAGGTTTTGCCAGGTTGCCCAGGCTGGTCTTGAATTCCTGGGCTTAAGCGATCACCCACCTTGAGCCCAGAAATGTTTTGCCTTCTTACATTTTTAAATTATTTATGTATTTTAGTCAGTTGTATTTCTTTTTTGTGTGTTTCTTTTGTAGAGACAGGGTCTCACTTTGTTACTCAAGCTGGTCTTGAACTCCTGGCTTCCAGCAATCCTCCCACCTCGGCCTCTAAAGTGCTGGGTTGCAGGCGTGAGCCATGGCCCAGTCAGTCAGCCATATTTCTATTATCTGTCTTCCCTCACCAGAAAGAAGACTAATCTTAAAATACAATGAAGAGATTGTGTAAACACTGTCATCTTGACTTAAATGGTGGTGATAGGGGTTCAAAAGTAGACGGTAGGAAGAAGCTGATTGGCCAAATATATTAGCACAATCCAACCAAGACGTTTAGAGCCTTACAGTATGGGGAGCTTGAGACAGGTTAAATTTTCTTTTTTTAATGAGACAGGGTCTCGCTGTGTCACCCAGGCTGGAGTGTGGTGATGCAATCTTGGCTCACTGCAACCTCTGCCTTCTGGGCTCAAGCCATCCTCCCACCTAAGCCTCCTCAGTAGCTGGGACTACAGGTGTGTGCTACCACACCAGTTAATTTTTGTATCTGTTGTAGAGACAAGGTTTCACCATGTTGCCCAGGCTGGTCTCAAACTCCTGGGCTTAAGCAATTGGCCCACCCTGGCCTCCCAAATTGCTGGCATTACAGGCATGAGCCACCATACCCAGCCTAGTAAGAATTTTTTAGTCTACTATCTTATACAAAATTTTACTAATCTCTAATAATTTAATTTCATTCAAAAAAATTCAGACATCTGTGGTGTTTAAGAAACAGTCTAGGCTGGGTGCGGTGGCTCACATCTGTAATCCTAGCACTTTGGGAGGCCAAGGTAGGCTGATCACCTGAGGTCAGGACCCCGTCTATACTAAAATACAAAAATTAGCCAGGTGTGGGGGCAGGTGCCTGTAGTCCCAGCTACTCAGGAGGCTGAGATGGGAGAATCACCCGAACCCGGGAGATGGTGGTTGCAGTGAGCCGAGATCATGTGACTGCACACTGCAGCCTGGGCAGCTGAGAGAGAAAGGAAGGAAGGAAGGAAGGAAGGAAGGAAGGAAGGAAGGAAGGAAGGAAGGAAGGAAGGAAGGACGGAGCCCAGGCAGAAGGAAGGAAGGGAAAGAAGAGGAAGAGGAAGGAAGGAAGGAAGGAAGGGAGGGAGGGAGGGAGGGAGGAGGGAGGGAGGGAGGGAGGAAGGAAGGGAGGGAGGGAGGGAGGGAAAGAGATAAGAGAAAGAGAAAGAGAAAAGAAAGGAAGAAAGAAGAAAGAAGAGAGAAAGAAAGAAAGAAGAAAGAAAGGAAAGGAAAGAAAAAAAGGAAGAAAGGAAAGAAAGAAAGAAAGAAAGAAAGAAAGAAAGAAAGAAAGAAAGAAAGAAAGAAAGAAAAGAGAAAGAAAGAAAGAAAGAAAGAAAAGAAAAGAAAGAAAGAAAGGAGAAAGAAAGAAAGAGAAAGAAAGGAGGAAAGAAAAGAAAGAATCTAATATAAATACTAGGCAGGCCAGAAGAAAACATCCTAACATCTACTTTTATTTTTTATTTAATTTTTTTTATAGCAAACATTGCCTGACAACTAACATCTACTTTTAGATAAAAGCGCTTTTATAATTAAGGGGCCAACACTAAATATTAGACCACGTCAAGAAACCCAAGAGCATATCCTTATACTGCATATACTGCTCATATGAGTGAAGATTTTTCAAGAAAAAATACCTTGGCCGAGCACAGTCGCTCAAGCCTGTAATCCCAGCACTTTGGGAGATCAAGGCAGGCAGATCACCTGAGATCAGGATCAAGACCAGCCTGACCAACATGGAGAAACCTCGTCTCTACTAAAAATACAAAAATTAGCTGGCCTTGCTGGCTCATGCTTGTAATCCCAGCTATTCAGGAGGCTGAGGCACAAGAAGTGCTTGAACCTGGGAGGTGGAGGCTACAGTGAATCAAGGTCATCCTACTGTACTCCAACCTGGGGGACAGAGTGAGATTCTGTCTCAAAAAAAAAAACCTTGCATAAGTTTTTGTGAATTACTGTGGATTTCAATCTACTGTTATACCAAATATTAAAAATTACAGACTTATGTGTTTACTGAATAAGCACTAAAGGATATAATCAAATATAGTTTCTTGTCTTGATTGTCTTTTTAAAATTTATTTAGTGGGGAAAAATTTTCCCTTGCCACTAGATGATCACTTCAGCAGGCCCATTTGATTCTTTTGGTCAATGTTAAATAAAGGAAGGCTTATGGTCACTTAGGTAACAAACCAATCTTCACTAGGTAATCAAATGTTTTCCCCAGCCCCAGGGAACCTGGGAAGGGATTGAATCAGCTGCTTCTCTTCTCTTCCACAACTTTCGCCATCACTAGCTGTGGGATCTTTCCAAGATAGGCATGGAAGACAGGGAGGCTGGGGAAGGAAGGCAAAGAGATGCCAACATGGGCCTTCCTGCCAAAACACCTGTCTGCTGATGTTTGAAGCTAACTCTTTTTTCTCAGATGCACTTTCATGGGTTATTCAGAGTCTCACCTCTGGTCATAGCTCCACTGACTTGGATAATTCATTCTTCTCCTGGCTTTTTGGCTGTCATTCAAAAGACTCACCATTGGAACCTCCCTGCCCTTTCAGGCATCTATTTGGACAGGAGTCCAACTCCAAGCTATCCCTCTCCTCCACTAGACCCACCTCTAATCTGCAGGAAATACATTTCCTTTGCCCTGACAAAGGCTGGAGTGTAGGCAAATTCAACACAGCCACCATTATAGTATAGTTCTTTCTGTGGGAACAGTAAGCTAGCCACAGTTCTCTCCTTGTTGGGTATCTCGGAGAGCGGACCCTGGTCCTCTTTTCCCCGCAACTGGGGGGAATCCTTTAAATCTCTTAAGTCGTCCCTCTCAAGCCCCTCTCACTCGATACCAAGTGAGAGAACAAGGAGAGATACCAAGTAAGAGAACAAGTGAGAGTAACCTCCACTTACACCATGGTGGAGGGGACTCAGCACCGTTTTCTCAGGAGTCCTCATAAAATGCTATTCCTGACCCATAGTATCCTTCTTAATGGGTTTTAGAGACTTTAACTGGTTTGAAAACCTATTTTAAAAAGCCACATAAAATATCTCACTTTTGAAATTCACACTATTGTACTGTAGTGCCTACACTGAAATTCTAATAGATTTTGCTACAATAATAATTGGCAATAGATGAAGTTAGGTCTGTCTTCTGATCAAATTCAAGAATAAACTAATTATCAGATTAGTTATTACCTGCTATTGCACACTCACAACATTTCTAGTTTTTGTCAAGTTTTAACATGGCATCTAAATAATCCAAGGTCTTATGACCTATGATATATATGCCACAAAAATAAAATAGACTGTTGTTCTCTTTCACCCCTTCCAAGTCTGACTATTACCACTATTATAATAATAAAGACTCAGCAGAGCTAGCTGTTGTACTGATAATATATTTGTTGCACTCAGAAGATTATTTCATTTAATCTCCAGAATTCTATAAGGTAGTACTTCTATTAAGTTCGTTTAACAATTGGGAAACTGAAGTACATAGTTACTGTAATATATCCAGCATGGTAAAATTTTTATCTTAAAAATGCAAATAGCCGGGTGTGGTGGTTCATGCCTGTAATCCCAGCACTTTGGGAGCCCAAGGCCGGTGGATCACCTGAGATCAGGAGTTCAAACCAGCCTGGCCAACAGGGCGAAATCCCATCTCTACTAAAAGTACAAAAATTAGCTGGGTGTGGTGGCAGGTGCCTGTAATCCCAGCTATTCCGGAGGCTGAGTAACGAGAATCGTTTGAACCTAGGAGGCGAAGGTTGCAGTGAGCTA